GGTCCCCTCTAGTTAAAATGAATGTCATGGTGGAAAATTTAAATAAATCTTTTTTCATGAGAATAAATTTTATTTGGATTTCTTTGGTGGGGGGATATTGAAATAAATCTTATGGAGGGATTCTAAAGTAAATTTTATTTCTTAATGATATTTGATTGGGACTCTCAAATAAATTTTACGATTGGAGATTAAAATTTTCTATGAATTTTGTTGGGTGGGATATGATATTAAATCTTATGAGGATATATTTGCTTCTTCATGATTAGTCGGGGTGATCTAATTTTATTATTTTATGAGATTAATTAGATGGGGCAATATAATAAATTAAGTCATATTTCTTCATTAGATTTATTGGATAGTTCACTATAATAAATTCTGAGATGGGATATTGCAATAAATCTTATTTCTTCATGAGAATTATTGGATGGTATATTAAATATAATCTTATAATAGAAAATTAATTTTTCTTTCTTCTCGACATGTATTGGAGAAGATACTAAATTAAATTTTATTTATTCATGAGATTTATTGGGAGGGATATTATAACAAATCTTATGGTGGGATACTAAAGCAAAACTTATTTCTTTACGAGATTTACAGCGCGGGACACTAAAGCAAATCTTACGAGGGATAATAATCTTGTTTCCATATGAGATTTATTGGATGGGATCTTGAAGCAAATCCTAGGTGGGGCAATAAAATAAATCTCATTTCCTTATGAGACTTCTGGATAGGATATAAAAAAATCTTGTGGCGGGATACTAAAGTAATTCCTACTTCTTCATGAGATTTATTGATTGGGATATTAACGCTAAAATAAATCTTATTTCCTCATGAGATTTATTGGGTGGGATATGAAGCAAATCTTGTGATGGGACATTAGAATAAATCCTATTTCCTCATAAGATCTATTGATTAAAATAAGTAGCATTTTCTCATGATCTATTCGATGGGATATTGAAGCAAAATCTATTTCCTCATGAGCCATCTTGGATGGCCGACGAAAGTATATCCTACGGCGGGACATTAAAGCAAATCATCTCTCCGCTTTTTGGGCGAGTGAAGCTCACATCCTTCAGAATCCCAACGAATAATTAGATCAAATCTCAATGCTTCAAGCCCTCTATAAGGCTATCCATTGGGATGGGATTTAGAGCAGCCCAGTTGCCGCTCAAGTTCGACTTCGCGCTGCGGCGGCGCGGGGCTCGGGACTATGGCTTACGACCACGCCCTTACCAACTCGGGACTTTCTTTTCTCAAATGCTGCATTGATTGACGTAATGAGTATGCGCTGGGAATTGAAATTTTCGGAGTTGGGAAGACTTGTGGTTATTGCCTCCAAGTTATAGATTCTTTGGGCCACCATGTCATGGGTTGTATTCGACAGGGTAACAAATATGGAATTCATAACATGCTCCGTAACAATATCAGTAGATATGCAACAATGGCCGGATTACAGCCAATCCTCGAACCAACGGATTATTAAGTGATTCCCCACAATTGAGGCCTGCTGATATTTTAATCACGGCACCTCCATCATTGAAACCAAATTCTTGACGAAGGTTCTCTCGTTTGGCTCTGGATTTGGCGGGTTCATCCCCATTTCAAAATCATCTGCTGGCGGAGGCAGCCGAACAGGAACTCGTATCAGCCACTAAATACGCTGATCGGAAACGTCAGCAACACCAATTGGCTGAGAGATTGGGATACGAGCCCATTGTTTTTGAGAGTATGGGGGGTTTGGAAATAGGAGGGATCGAACTTCTCAAAGGGATATGTGTTTTGGTCGATGAGCGGCAACATCGTTGTCAGGGCAAGGCGTATCAAGAATGTTTGATGCGGTTGAGTTTTGATCTTCAACGCGGGCTTCACAGAGCGATCAACACGTATCATGTGACTCGTCGGGCCATATCGAAGGACCGAACGCGGTAGAAATATTCTTGAATCTCTGTGTTTGCTGACGAAGGACCCCCCTTACGTAGGTGATTCCGCCTTGTCGCATGCGCCTCGGCCGCGGCGCCGCTTGGCAAACTGAGTGTAGAAAAGTTCTGGAGCCCCGCATTGGTTCTCTTGCTTCTTGGGGTCCTCGTACTCCCGTAATTTGGGGCGGTGGCGGTTCTTTTCCTTTGGGAGTATAAGGAACCTATGATTTTGTGGATGTTTGTTCGTAGCTCTCGAATGGGCCTATTGAAGTTCAGTTCCTAAGTATTTTGCATTTTCATGGGAGCAGAAGTCTCTCAACGATGGAGTAAATTTAACTCGTACCTTTGTTCTATTTGGTGTATTTTGGACGATACTTAATTCGTATTCTTGGGAATATAAGTTTCTCGCACGGAGAGAGTAGGGATTTATAATTGGTGCTTTTAAGAATAGAAGTCTCTTATACCGTTTCTGGAGTCAATAAAGCGAATCTTGTTTCCTCATGAGATCTGTTGGATGGGATATTAGGATTTCGGGCGGGCATGAATCCTATTGGGAGGGATACGAAAGCAAATCTATTTCTTCATGAGATTTATTGGGTGGGATATGAAGCAAATCTTGTGATGGGACATTAGAATAAATCCTATTTCCTCATGAGAGCTATCTGGTGGGATTTTAAAGCAAATCTTGTGGGAGGAAATCCTATTTCTTCATGAAATCTATTGAGTGGGGACACGATATTGGAGCAAATCCCGTTTCCTCATGAGATCTAGTGGGAGGATCACCAAAACAATCCTATGACGGGATACTATAGCAAATCTTATTTCTTCATGAGACCTATTGGATAAGACCTATCTGATAAAAATCTATTTTCTCATGAAACGTATTGAGTGGGACGCTGAAGCACATCCTATGGTGGGACACTAATGCAAATCACTAAAGTAAATACTGAGGTGGGACACGAGAGCAAATATTGTTCCTCATGAGACCTGGATATTAATACAAATGCTTTAATGGGACATTAAAGTAAATCCTATTTCCTCCTCCTACTTCCTCATGAATCCTATTGAATGGGAGACTAAACAAATCCTATTTCTTCATGAAAAGCGTTTTGTATTTTATGGTTTGATCAGTCTTGGTGGTTCTTATTGTGGTTTATTTATTTTTGATTTTGGGGTGTTTATTTGTCCCCTGAGGTTTTTTGTTCCTTTTTCGTGGTGTTGTTGTGTTTGGAGGAGTGGTGTGTGATTGGGGCGTGGGTGGTTTTTGTTTTTGGATTGTTGGTGTTTGTGGGGCGGGTTGTTTGTTTGGTGTTCCTTGCTGTAGGCGGTGTGGGCCGCGTAGGGTTGAGTTATGCGTGTTGTCTGATTGTTAGTGTCGTTAGTTGTGGTTTTCGTCTGTTGGTGGGTGTGGTTTTTTGGTAGCATTTGGTGTGTGGGAGTTTGTGATTGGGTTGGTGTGGGGGTGGTTTTGGGTGGAGGGTTGTGTTGGGTTTGGGTATTGGAGTGGGTTGTAGGGTGTGGTCGAACCCGGATGCTGTTAAGATTTTTGCATTTTTCTGGGGGGCTTCTCTGAGCAGGCACTTGCAGATTCCGAACTTTGGAGGGGCCATGGCAGACAAGAAGGTGCAGTGAAGCTAGCGAATGGTCACTGCCGAATGCTGGCCGAAAGTGGCTGATGTGCCGCCGGTCGGGCAGCCACGTGTATGCTGCTACGACCCGAGTGTTTCACAACGCGTAGTAGATCGATGTAGATGTCAGACTTGCCGGCAGCCGAGCATCCCGCTGCTGCCGGGCTGTTGTTGGATCACAGATCGCTTCCCCGAGACAAGTTAACAACAGTTGAATAGCGAGGATGTTAAGCCTACCTGCCCAGAGCTGTCCGAAGCCTCATTTTGGAAAGGGATTGCTGAAGCGCAGGGCAGAGATTGCTGATGAACCGTTGGAGGTTTGGCACCCTGTGGTATTCCATTGTAAGGGCTCCTGAAGCATCACAGCGCCCCCTTGAAAGAGACCAGCAAAGTTGCACCACTCATGAAGTCGAGGTTGATCGTAATTAGTCGACCCATAATGGCTTCCAAAGTATGCAGAGAGTATGAGGCGAGGGATGCCTTGCAGCTCTTGGAAGAGACTCGGAGCTCTGCCGCTCAGCTGCTGACTAGTCTGTATAAAGAGGGCACACTCGCCATGTTGCAGCTAGTGTGCACGAAGCCTATGTAAGTGCAAGGCTTTCTGGCCTCCTCATCCATGGGAGCTTGCTGCATGCCTGGATCTCAGCTGAAAAGCCGGTGAGCATGACTTCATTCCAATCCGTCTGGTGCGCCCTTGCCTTGCCTCAAGCACTGGACTCCGTCGTGGACCAGCGACAAGTGGTTGAAGAAACGTATGCTGACGAGTGTAGTGGATTGTGGGATGAGAAGCAACCCTGACAAAGCCTTGAGAGCCTTATGTGTGTGTGTGTGCACATGCATCCCGGCCGTGTGCGCCATGCGGTGCCTCGTGCAAGCTTCGGTGCAAGGCTCGAAATCCAGCAATCGGTAGGCTCTAGCCCAAACTGGTGTGCGTGCGCGTGCGTTGGCCATCCTTTCACAGAGCAGACTTTCGAGAAGGTGAACATTCACTGGGCACAACACGAGCCCAAACCAAGAAACATAGACACATCGAAACCACCAGCCACATTCAGACCCTATAGTGCGTTTCATTTTGCATCATAGTCTATGGGTTGTGGTTGTTGTAGTGGCTGTTGGGGTTTGCTTGTCGCTTCAAGGTGTTGGTTGGTTCATTTGTTGTTTGTGAGTTTGCTTTTTCTTGTTGCCTGTTGCTGTTGTTTCTTGCTTCCCCCAACCAAACTCCATCGCAGAAGTTAGGGAGGTAAAGTAACTCGGGCGTTTGGATTCTGTGCGTCATCAGCTCCCCTCCCCTCGACAATGCGCACAAACCCCAAGATTTTTTTCGTCAATGCATGGGACCCCCCTCCGCGACTTCACAAGCACGCCAGCTGCAAACACTGTGCATCGCTGCGCTTTTGCATTTTTTCCTCAAGTTTCGGCGCGGGTTTCTCCCTCGAACAGTGGGAGCCAGGCCAGCGGCGTTTCTCGAGTGCCCGGCCTGGCTCTGCCGTGCTGGCGGAAGGCCCCCCATGGCGCTCTTTGCGCACTGGCATCTTACGTGAGACGATGACATGTGCGTTGCAAACGCATGCACACACTGTGCTCTCTGAGAGGTTTCCGGGCCCTGCGCGCACAACGCTTCGAGGATGCGCTGCGCTGCTTCCGGCTGTCGGGAAGCTCCTCTTCGCCCATACTGCAAGCGGCTGCGAGCAATGCTGCTTGCCAGAAGCATAGCAGATCAAATCATGAACTCGCCTCCTGACACCTGACAATGTCGCAAGCCGTGTGCATATGCAGCATGCACCCTGTGTCTGCTTTGTGAACTGCGAATCTTCTCTTTGCAAATGTATCGGCTGCCGTGCTTCCAGGCGGAGGGTCTCCTCTTACTTCGGAGTCCATTGCCACTTTCTCCAGCTCCCGGGACCGAAGAACGAGCGTTGCAAAAAGGCAGGATGTGAACATTCTTGGACATGGAGCGCATGTGAAAGGCACCGAGCCAACCCGCACGATGCGCTCCTTTGAGCATGTCGAGAGGTTCATTGGGGTTGGCTATTGCACGAAACTGAACTTCCTTCTTCGTCGGGGTTCATCTCGCAAGTTGCGTTCACGCGCTATCGCGCCCCTGTCCTCCCGACCCACGGAAACACCAGTATTAAAGTTGTACTACAATCCAAACGAAAATCCTCCCACGCCATCCCCGCGCCATTCACGCGAAATTGACGCGCCGTTCACCCGGTATCGTGCCGACATGTATCATGGAACCTTCCCAGCTTGATGACAAGGCAGAACGCTAAACAGGTTTTTCGCTACCGCCGCCACCACCACCACTACGACTACAACAATGACGACGACGACTGCTTTTTCCTACTACTCTACTGCTGCCGCTGCGCTGCTTCTTCTGCCACTTTATTACTACTTCTACGACGACGACGACGACGATTACAACTGCAACTGCAACTGCAACTGCAAAAGAAGCTGCTGCTGCTGCTGCTGCTGCTGCTGCTGCTGCTGCTGCTGCTGCTGCTGCTGCTGCTGCTGCTGCTGCTGCTGCTGCTGCTGCTGCTGCAACTGCTGCTGCTGCAACTGCAACTGCTGCTGCTGCTGCTGCTGCTGCAACTGCAACTGCTGCTGCCGCTGCTGCTGCTGCTGTACGAGAAAGACATCGAGCCCCGCTCTCCACTCCTGGAACGTATGAAATTGAAAACATCGCCAGTCACATGGTGTCTCAAACGTTTCCAGGTCTTGGACCGTCCAAAATCAATCAAAACCCTGGCAAATCATGGGGTGGCATGGCTGTCGTCACAGTGTCACTCTTTCAAGGCTTTTGAAGTGGTCCTAGATTGTTGAGGCCTAATGCCGGCAACAACGTTTCAAGGTTGTCGGGCACTACTTCTCGGAGCCAATCTCCGCATGGTGTCCCGACTCCTGAACAGCAAGAAAATGCTATGCAGCTGCCAGGTGATGTGGTGTTTGCCCCTTGGGCTGAAGATGGGTTTGACTATGAAGCAACCATCGACCACATCGATGAGGTGGGTGCACAGATGCTGAGTTCGTCAAGTTTCGGCTGAGTGCGCAGCTTCCTGCTTGCAGAAGGCTAGCGAGTGCTGCACAGTGAGCTGGGCAGACGGTGGGCAAACGTGTCGGGAAGATTCTTGGCCTCGTTGGTTGCAGTCCGGGCAGTGTCCTGCAGTTGCGTTGTGAAGCTTTCGCATGGGTTCCTTTGCCGGCTGTTGAGATACAGCCCAGCTAAGGTGCGTCTTCCGGCATTGATCTCGCCTCTCGGGTCTCCATGTGTCAACGCTTTACGACGGCGTCCACAGGAAGTTCGGCTGTGGGCTTCCAGGCGGGTTGTTGTGGGCATTTCACAAAGCAATCCAAGCTCCGAGCATGGCCAAGCTCCGCCAAGCTCCGCCAAGCTCCGCCAAGCTCCGCCAAGCTCCGCCAAGCTCCGCTGCGAGGAGAGCTCTGCGAGCGGCCCTCCTTGCCTGGCAAGCACAGGCCGAGGCCGGAGCAGCACATGATGCCTTTGTGGACCTCGCCGGCCGGTTGCCCAGATCATGGGTAGTGTTAGCATCCCCATCGAAATTGCCTGTGGGTTCTTTGAGGTCTCCTTTGTGATGTATCAGCAGCTGAATGCAGATTGGCCCTCGCTGTGCCTTTCTGGAGTTCTCCTGGCCTTGAGCTGGCGTGCCTCAGAGTGGCACCAGAGCGTCTGGACTGCTGCGAGAATGGCAAACGCTAGGAAACATTTTCTTTGCACCGCTCGAATCAGGCGCAATGCGCTGCAACGTGGTCGATTTGCAGCGGAGAGAGCCTACAAGCCGGATGCGCGTGCACTGGCGGTCTTATGTTCGCAGCGCGCGGAGATGCTGCGCTTGGAGCAAGGCCTCATGGGTGTCTGGGCTGACGTGTGCGCAGCTGAGTGTGTTGAGGAGGGCGCATTCTCTGTGGGGTTTTCTGGGGGCGGACGCTCTGCGGGATTGATTGCCGAGGCCGAGTTACGTCAGATACAGTGTCGAAACATCTGGGGATGGCTCACTGCCGGATTATCTGGGGATGCAGCGAACTCCAGGATCCTCTGCGCGATTCTCCAGGGATCTCTGCAGGATCTGCAGGATTCTCTGGGCACTTCAGGGATGCGGCATTTTTCGCAGGATTCTTGAGGCGCTGTAGGGACACTCTGCGGGGATTCTTTGCAGGATTTCCTGGTGTGGGCTGGGAAGGTTGTTTTTTTCCCCCACCCTTGGGGTCAAGTTGCTAGAGCGATTCTCGGTCTCCAGTATCCCTCGCTCTTGCCCACACGCATACTGAGTCCCCCTTGCACAGAATCCTGCAGAGTTGCAGAGAATCCCCGCAGAGTGTCCCTACAGCGCCTCAAGAATCCTGCAAAAAATGCCGCATCCCTGAAGTGCCCAGAGAATCCTGCAGATCCTGCAGATCCTACAGAGATCTCTGGAGAATCGCGCAGAGGATCCTGGAGTTCGCTGCATCCCCAGATAATCCGGCAGAGAGCCATCCCCAGATGTTTCGACACTGTATCTGACAGGTGGGGATGTGCGAAATAATGGTGTAAAGTAAAGGTTTCGTTAATTTCGAAAGATGATCCTAAAAGCGCTTCAAAGCATTCTTTTAAGCTAGTGTTTGACTTAGTGTGGTTGTCCGAAAGTCCTCGCCCGGGAGGCTCGCAGCTCGCGGACGTGCTGTCACTCCACGGGCGCGCGGCGGAGCACCTGGCAGCCGCGCACTGGCGCCGCGAACAGGAGAGCGCCGGTTGAGAAGCCACACTTAGAGCATGATTGACAGGGTTTGGGCAGCTGCGTTGCAATTGACCGCTGTCTTGTGTCCGTTAAGGTTTGACTTTTCTGCCGCACCATTTTGTGGCTAAATTTACGGCTCAGGTGATACCAGGCTTGAAAAGCAATGAGCAGCCACACCGGCACACAATTTAATTCATCCAGGTCCAACCCAGCAGTTCGGCAAAGGTTTTTTTTTTCACCATCGCCTCAAGCATCAAGGCTCCTGCAATTCAGGATTTCTTGTTGGCATCCAGTTTCGAGTCTGTTGAAAACCCGGTTACCCGCAATCATGCGAAGTTTGTGGCCCGGGGATCCTGGTTTGGAAAAAAAAGTTGTGTTAGGCAAGAAAAACGCTGAAGGATGGTTTTATAAAAATACTACGACCAACGACGACGTATACATCTCCATGAATGGCCCTTAAATTAGATTAAATAGGTTTCGTGATTGTGTTAGTCGGATCAGAAAGGCAATTCGAATCGTCGCGTGCTAGTTCTTCTACTATTTTCTCGTCAAGGAAACAACTAACAACATGACATAGGTCAGGTCATCGAATTCCGCATAGCTCAGCTTATCAGAGTAAATGGCCTCTATCCCATCATACTCTTCGTCTTGGCAGTTTGTCATTCGGTGGGGCTCTGGGTCCCGAGACGGTTTATCGCTCGCAGGGGCTCGCCTCAGAGGGACTCTGGGTCCCTAACCTTGCTGGTTTATCATTCTGAATCCCGAACCTCAGTGGTTTATCGTTCGGAGGGGCTCTGGGTCCTGAAGCTGGTTTATCATTGGGTGTGGCTTCGGGTCTCGAGCCTTGGTGGCTTATTCCCCTGAAGGAATTGCCGGTCATTGCCGGGTTCCTGGAATCCTTGTCTCCCTTTGTTTCCCTTCGTTTGTAGGTGGCTAGTGCAGGGGTTGGGCTCCTTGTCTCCCTTTGTTTCCCTTTGTCACCCATTGTGAGGGATATGTAATTGCCTTTTGTCTCCCATCGAGTGGGTGGCCCTTCATGTGCGTGGCCATTGCCGGGTTCCCGTTTCTTTGTCTCCCTTCATGTGGCTGACCATGGCCAGATTCCTGGTCTCCTTGTTTCTTTGTTTCCCTTTCTCCCATCATGTGACTCTGCCTCTGACGTTCTTTCCTCTCTCTCTCTCTCTCTTTCTTGCTTTCTCTCACTTTCTCACTCTCTCACTCTCTCACTCTCGCACTCTCTCGCTCTCTCGCTCTCTCACTCTCTCACCCTCTCGCTCTCTCGCAGACTCGCTCTCGAAAACATGAACAAAGAAACAATTGATGCATGCAGAACTACATTCAAAATGTGTATGAGCGCCTGCCTGAACTTGTATGTCTAGGCCAGTACTACAGTGGACACGAGTTGTTGGCGAACATCAATAAACCATGGAAAGCGATAGGGGTGCCGCCTAAGGCGATAACATTTGTTTGCACATGTAGATGCAGCAATCCTGATGGGGTCCAGTAATCCCATAGTATGTAAAGCGATGGGGGCCCCACGTAGAGCGATCACGTGGTATAATATATGTGAGCGTTTATGTAGACAGAATGTAGATAGAAACGTAGCTACTAGTACATGCAGTATGCCACAATTCATGGCCCTCGGCACTAGAGCAGCTTTGGTGAGGATGTTGTTGGCTGGCAAAATCCCTCCGGCAGCTTAAGCTGGGAGACCATACACCAGGCCTTGAAACATCGTGGGTTTTCTTCTTGGCAGACGACTTGAGCTGCATCTCCAAGGTTGTTGCGCATGTTTGAAGGTACTTTGGGCCAAAGCCTTGGCTTCACAGGCCATGACTCTTCCAGTCCATGATGCAAGTGACGAGGAGGCAATTCAGGGTTTGCGCATGTTTGCATTCTTCAATTTGCAAACCTGTCGCCTGTGTTCGTTCGAAGCCACGGCTGCTTGATAGCATGCCGTTCAGGTGGCAAGACCCCGCCCTTCTAAACGTACAAGGGCCACACGCAACTTGGTACAACCATGGCGAAGTGCAAAGCTTTGACGTCTTGCGACGTGGACTGCGAGGCAGCTCAATCGCTCCAAGATATGGCGTACCTCGGTTTCGACGGTTGCGGAGGCGCGAGGACATCCAATGGTCCTTGCCAGAAGCTTGGCTTCAAATGGTCTAAATGTGGGCGACAAGTGGAACAATGCCCTGTATCCCGCAAAGTGAGCCAGAGTGGGGAGACCCATATCAGGAGACTCAGAGATGTGAAAAGCCTAGAGTTTTCAGATGTTGCAGCACCTGCAGACCTGTACAGTCCTGCATGGTAAAGGAGAAGTTGCTGCCCACAACGCCGCCGCCCGGATTGCCTGCTGGACAAGACCCCATACTGCCGTTTGGCTGGAACATGCTAGAACATCTTGGCCCCCACTGATGAGACATCACTCTGCGTAGTCCCTTGAGGCAGATTCGCTGCCCAGCACGTGCCGCTGTGCTGCGTGCTTGGCGGGCCTTGCACTGGGCAGCAGGCCATAAAGGTGCCCTCGATCCGCTTCAAGTTGAGTCGCTAGCCGCACTCGCTGCTGCACCCCAGAACCAACGACGAATCCTATGCGATTTCCCTGGAGATGCTCTCTTGAACCTTGGTAGCATGGAATGAATGCCTGCACATTATGTCGCAATGTCACGCGACGCCTGAAAGTCAGGAATTTGTTTCGCGCCTCAGCGCAGAGCTTGGCAGCACCCGCAGCGCAGCGAACCTTCTCCTGGAGGCTCAGAACATGGAAAACATTGGACATCGTTCATGGATTGGGAGCAGCTGCAAGGTTGCTGTGCTGACTTTTGTGATGGGCTGCAGGCCCTGGGTGCTTCACGGCTTGTTTGTTTTCGTTCTATAACAAGTTTAGGAGAGGCATTGGGAGGCAAGTGCATCGTACTCGTCCATCCGGCGAGTTGACGTAAGGTGCCGATGCGCGCAGATCAACGAACATGGAAACACGTGTTCGTGAATGTCCCTGCGCTCGCAGCGATGCCTATTTGCACAATGCGCTGGCATGTGAGGCTTGGCAAGCCGGCCAAAGCAAAGGCCATTGCCCTGCCGCTTGCCGTAGCCGCAGCCCCTCGGATCACAGAGCTGTGCGATGCTGTGCGCCGAGCTATCGCGAGAGCGGGGCTCGCCGGATCTTGCAGGGTCGATGCTTGTCGTAGCAGGTGAACACATTCACGGCTCTGGGCCCGCAGCCGGACGATGCTGCCAGCTCGGCACGCCATATGGTGGAGATCCTGGCGTCACAGGTGCTCGGATGTGCTCGGGATTGTCGGAATCTGGGCAGTGTGTCTGGACAGACATGAGCATTATGGGACATGATGGGACTCGACAGTCATGGATGCGGTTCGCAACAGTAGGCAAAAGGTCCAAGCGCCAGGCAGTCATCCAGAGACTTGCATTGTTTGAAGGAACTGCCGGCGCATGAGGTGCCGAACAGTGTTTCTTGATGCAATGTTCATTGTTGAAAGGGCTCTGGCTTAGAACATTTCCATTCTGCTCAGCAGGCACAGCAACAATGAGCCTCGCATCTTTTACAAGTTTGAGAACTCGCTGCATGTGAGGTTCTATCTTGGGAGACCCTCGAGCTCAAACAAAGTCATGCACGCTGGCGGCTGGTAGGCCTTCTAGGGTAGCCGCGTAGCCACACTGGAAGTATTCAACAACTCTCAGGCTCTTCGAAGCAGCTTGCCTGCAGGTTACCGTGCCCGTGAAGAAGTTTGGCTGCTGCGCCGAGGGAGGAGGCGCTTAGCTGCGTTGGCAGCGCCCACACCGCTGACTTGGTGCCTGGAGGCCGATGTGAGTGCGATTCCCTTGCTTTGCTGTTATTTCCTTGCTTTGCTGTTTGATGTCTATTGCCGTACACAGTGGATGGGCGAGATCAAGGCGAAATGTTTGTCGGATTTTTCCTGAAGCAGTTACTGTGCACCATCTCGCAACAGCAGCTATTGTGTACCGTCGGTGTGTTCCCACCGGCAGGGCATGGCGTTGGCACCTCGACTGCACACGAGCGAGAAATGTTACAGCCTTCGCCCGACAGTGGTCCGCATAAGACAGCATGTCAGAGATGCGTAGTTCTTTCAGCCATTTGAGGCCGAGACGATGCCAGACTTGGATGAGAAGGACCAACAATCGCCATAGCTTGCAGCATCCTTGTGATGGCCAGACCTTTCGCAGGCTGTAGGCATGGCCCGTTGTGGTGCTTGTTGTGTTCCCCTCTCCCGTGAGGGGGGTGTGTGTGTGTGTGTGTGGGGGGGGGGGGGGGTGGTTGATCCATGAACAACACCCTTCCCCCCTTCCACCCTCCCTATCAAGGGGGTTAACGAGAACTGCAGTTGTCGGCACAACAGATGCTACAGGGGATACTGTGTGGGCCACCGCTACGGGAGCCAATGGCTTCACCCTGTGATACAGATGCTGGCGATGCTTTTTCCTAGTCGTGTACATAGCTCTGACCGCCTGCCACGCTGCCATGACTGCAGGGATCGTGCCGCACTTGTGGCATCGGGTGTCTAATTCACCAACAAAATTGGAGCCATGCTGTCAATGGCATCTGAGTGTGGCGAAGTACGTGTGCCTGTCCGTGTTTCATGCCAGTCTTGCTTTCTCGTGATTGACCGTTTAAGCCTATTCAAAGAGGGCACCATCTTAATCTTGACAATGCAGACCTGCTCGCCCAGGTCACCGCCTTCTTGCCCTGTCACTCTGCCGAGCCGGACTGCCATGCAGTTTTGCCGGGCAACAACTCATGCAAAGGGGTGGCAATGGTTTTTCTAGTTGCTGAAATGCCTCTATTGGATGGTGAAGTGCAGCGCGAAGTGGAGAGTCATCAGGGCTATATTCAACATTTCAATTGGCTTCTCGTAGGACGGCCAGCACGTGCGTTGGGCGAGCTGCAGGATGCGGTTGCTATAGTAGACTGTCCCCTGCTTGCGCTTGACCAGGTTTTTCTGAACGTTGCAGCAATTTACACCAATTTACACCTTTCCGTTCTGTTTTGCCACAGGGCTTGGGGCAGCTGTTGGTCGACACCCCTGGCTTACTGGCGGACCTGCTGCATCAGGTGCGATGCTCGAGAGTTTGGAAAGCCTGCTTGTCTTCCGACAGCAAGGAACTGCATGTTGATCCGAAGACTGACACAAGTGGTTTCCAGGATGTACAGGTGCTGCAGCTTGAGGTTGAGGTCGCCCTTGACGTCAAGCACTTGGTCTTGTGCATGCGAGACTTCTGCCAAACGATACCCTGACTTTGGCGAGCAGGAACTACGCAGCTGAAAGTAAGCCCATGGGACGCAAGCAGACTCTGCAAACCAGTAGCCGGCTCGAAGTCAATGCTCCATGGCAGAGTGGGCTAGGGAATGCGAGTTTTGCGCGTTGATTTCATACACAAGAATCAGCAGAAGTCGCGAGCCCATAGTTGGCAGTGCTGAGAGCTCAAGCCGACTCAAGCAAACCAATGAGTTGGGGCCCCGGCTTTGTCGCATTTTGCCGCATTAGCTTGGAATAGACTCACGAAGGGAGGGGCCAGCTCTCTCACCTCTTGACAAGTGCCCCATGGAATGGCGTCAGATGCCTCCGAGTTCTTCAGCCCTGCACAGATTCAGTTCCTGGACAAGACTCTCGGCGTAACTAAGTTGGCGTTTCCGGAACCCACCCGATGTTGAATCACTGCAGGCTCCCAGCTGTAAACGTGCAGCATCATGCCGTCATGTGACACTGCAGGTTTGCGGCCGTTGCAGCCGTGCTGCTTGCGGCGTGGGCTTATGCAGACAGTGCAGCCCTGTTCTGGACATTGCTCCTCGACAACGCTGGAAAAGTCTTTTTGTGCATGCCCATGAAGCGAGACAGTTGTGGAGGAAGCTCTGCAGTTCTCATTGAGGTTCCTATCTCTTGCAGCCCTCAAGCTGTGGTGGCAACGAGCCGAATCGAAGCCATCAACCAACCAAAGCACCTCACAGAGGCGCGATGGTCAGAATAAGAAAAGAAGAGAGACGTGAGCTGGTGCTGGTTACAACCAAATTCAACATTCATGAGCTGCGGCATCACCACGACCCTGATGAAGCTTTCTAGTGTCGCACCACAGGCAGTCAGTAGACCCAGACAGACATTGGGAGTTGCTTGGCAGCTCGCAGAAACCAGGAACCTTGCGTGTGGACGACTGTCGGAAGCACACGAGGACAGTGCTGGCAAGGTCCTTGCATCTAGGGGTGAAGCTTATCTGTGCAAAAGTATGCATGCAAATGTACGGGTGAATGCGCCCGAAGCTACCCTCAACCTCTTAGGCATTGCAGAAATGTGCCTAGGGTTAGTGATTTTGGTCGGCACACGTGTTAGACTTTGCTCCTATGGTCGCTAATTCCTTAAGCCACGCTTGGTGGGCTGTTGAGCCCTGGCTACAGCACTTCCGCAGACACCTAATCAACCGTTTGCAACTCACTGCCTGCGCGCGTGCGTGCGACCGATCAGATCTTGATCGTTTGATTAAATTGCCCATGCCACGTATGCCTGCAATGTCGAACGTTTGAAAGTGTCCGCCGCCAGCTCTGTCGATCCATCCATGTCATTGTCCGTGTCCATGTGCATGCCTGTGTCCATGCCGATCCATGGATAAAACCCTCGTGAACAGTGCTGCGGGTATCCCGGAGGAGGACTTGGATGCAGCTGGCGCGAAAGCGGCAGGGGTGCCGGCGCAGCGACTTGACAAATCAGCAGCAAGTGCAACAACAACATACAGTTAATGCGTTGCACTTGCTTTTGCGGTAGATTGGGAGTTATGGCTGGGTCTTGAAGGCGTAAATCTTCTCAGAAGTGGTCTCAGCAGACATGTCATGCAGCAAGCTTTGCTTTTGCTCGTGCTCATGGCGTGCAACTGCCCTTGGAAATGCTACCGGGGCTGGTGACTATTCGTGTGAAGCCTTTAAGTTCAGCTTGAGCTACCTGCTGTCAACCTTGCCTGGCTCGTCCTCGAACCCTTGTCACTAGCATTCAAAGCAGTAACTAATCTAGGAGTGTCTAGGAGTGGAACGAACTCAACTGCGCACAGCTGCAAGCTCGAGCGACTTGAAGCCTGCATGCGAAAAGCAGGTCGCAGGCCCAGAGTCGAGTCAGCTTTGAGTTCTAGAGCCCCAACACGGAAGCCTGTTTAGATCTGTTTAGCAGCTTAACAAGAGGATAAGACGCAAACGAGAGCACAAGGGAAGCGATGACCGGCAGGCACGTGGCGCAGGTGGCCGAACTTGGACGGCGAGTAAGCTCGAGGGGTCAGAAGGAGCCTCTTTGCGACCCGCCCCTCGAGCCGAAAGTGGTGGGGAGTAGTTGACAACATTGTTGGCACATTGTGGACATGTTGTTGCCACAATGCGCTTCTGGTGCTTTTGGCGCCGCACTCTCCAGACCTCTCTGCCGAAAGACTTCAAGAGTAGCGAACCGAAAACGGAAGAGTACAGCTCAGCAGAGTACAGAAGCGTAGATGCAGTTCCCATGTTGTGCCGATGTCCTTAAGGTTGATGTTGCTCCGTGGCCTGGCTGCGTGTGATCCCTGTGACCAGCCTGTGACGCTTGTCGCACGGATGTGAAAGCAAACTGTTTCAGCTGGTGCTGAGGCTTTTTGAAAGCACGTGACTTTGACGTGGGTGAAGCTGTGCGCATGTATCGGGAGACCATCAGATGGCGAGCGAACTTTTCTATCCAGTCCGTCTCCAGGCTGCAGAGCATCTGAGTACAGTAGCCATCACCACAATGAAAGGATCAGACAAATAGATAGCGACCCCCACGGTATTTTCAACGTCCTCATGCTGGATCGAATTGACAGCCACCTGTGGAACTGGAGGGCCTAGATCCATCACCACACGTACACAAGTCACGTTTCAAGTCGCTATTGAGCGTGGGGTATGTTTGCGGAATACCCCGATTCTGGCCTAACAGAAGCCGAAGAGTCTGCTGTCTGCTTCGTGATTGCTGCGAACGATCCTAGAAGGGGTCCACACCAGCCACGGATCGTCGGGCTGATGGTGTGTAAGCTTTAGGACGTTGGGCGTCCGAAGAGAGTGTTCTAGAATTGAAAGTGCCCCGCATCCTAAGGTGATGATGATATTTGGGGCTGGTGAGACCTACACTTTGGACGGCAATCGTGCGACTGAAGATGCGACATCTTGGCGCTGGCATCCCGAATTGCATTCTCGCGAAGCTTCCCTTACGAAGAAGTATGGCCTCCTAGTTGCAAATTGACATCAAGATCTCAATCTGTACAAAACGCACTCCTCAATTTCTAAGCCCACCATGCTTCTAGTTTTCAGGATTTTTTGGCCGCCTTTCGCAGCGGAGCCCTGGTGGAGAGCCTGTGGCGATATGGCGATTGGGTGCTGCCGATTTGGATGGGTACCTTGTGTGTGCATTTTGGTGCGTTCTCCGGTATCCGTGCTGTAGTCATGCATAAGCAAAGTAACGGGGTAACGGTGGGTCACTGCTTTGCTGTGTGTAAGCTTGCACGCAGCTTGTGGTGCTTTAGGAGGAATGGCTAGCTGACGAATGAATCCCGTGTTCTCAATGCGGGTCTCTTATACATAGCGGTGCAAATATCCCTGTCCTTCTGGCGCTGTCATTTATTTTCATTCCATGGCTTTTTCCGATGGAAGTGTCACTACCCATTACCCATTCTTAACACTTGGCACTTGGCAAGAGGGGGGGGGGGTGGCGGCGTAAACAGCCATTCCAATATGCAAGTGCGAATTAGGTGCATATCGGTCCTGTCGAGATTGGGCAGCGTTGAGCCGTAAGTGCGAGGAATGCCCCACCAGATAGTGTCCATAGCCAGCGATTTCAAACGAGGGAAGGAGGGAAGGCTTAAAAGGCGGAACTCCTGCCTTGATTACCACAAGACGCCGAGTCGCCAAAAATCCGGATGGCCGAAGAACGCGGCGCCCTGAAGATCAACCTCTCCCGAGCCTCTTCCACCGCTGCGCGGCGGAAGGAGGTCAGGTTTGTGCGACTGGGTGATGCCAGCGGTAGCCCAGGAAGAAAATCTTCTTGAAGCCAAAAGGGGGTGCAGGCTTCCCATAAACTATTCTGAAGGAGTGTGGAGGAGGATGAGCAATGATGAACACATGCGTTGGACTTCCTACTTTTTCCCGTCATGCAGGTGATTTGGGGCCTGAGTGTGGGGTACTGTCATGACTCATCTCATTTCGGTTCAAGTCAATGCATTAGTAGGGCCTTTGGCCATTGGCGCGGGGCCAGTTTGCGGGTGGGGCCTTTCAAACACGGCCAAGGACACTACAGCCCTCTGTGGGTAGGTAACCCAAAACCCCCCGAAAAATTTTCGGCAACACTTAGCCATTTCAGGAAGCACAGTTTTCTCATGTTTTCTCTGATATAGAGGTTGAGTTTAGGGTCGGGAGTCCCGGCGGTGTGATGATTAACTTCAGAAGGCCAAACTGGTTTCTAGATTGGGGATTGCGGTCGGGGTTCCGGGCAGTGAAGGCAGTTCTCCTTCAAATCCGCAGATTCTTCGCACCAGCGGCGCGTTTCGAAACCCAAAGAAGCGAAGTGTAGCGTGGTGTGCAAGGAAGGCGAGTTCACTTGGACTCAGGGACTCAATCGTAGTTTATATGCCGTTCTGACTTGATCGAACTCAACCAGTGTCGAGCCACTCAGCCCGCGGAATCAGAGCAGGTGAAGCCGCGAAGCCAGCATGCCAACATTCGACCACAAAGTAAAACAAAGAGACCCAAGATGCCTTGAAATTGAGAGCCGTACACGGCAGTCAGAAGCATAGCGATCAAGGAAGGGAGGAAGGAGGGAGGAAGAGTGCAGGCCTTGGTGTTGCAGACTTGTTGAAGCATGCCTGTGATGACTGCTGTCAAAGGTATGTGCGCGAGGACTCCGAACTTGGAGGGGTGCCGTTGGAGTCCGACTCTGCAACTTGATACTGTAAGAAGCGGAGCCACGGCAAAACAAATGAGGACCTCGTGTCCATCATCACTCGTGGCTTTGTGTCCCATCTCGAGGACGGTGGTCGGCCGAGCTTGTCAGCATTCCTGTGATAGACAAGTTGTTGAATGCTAATTACGCGCCGCCCCAGAAACAAATTGA